TTCCTTTCCTTTCCTTTCCTTTCCTTTCCTTTCCTTTCCTTTCCTTTCCTTTCCTTTCCTTTCCTTTCCTTCCTTTGGAACGAACTACCCCCAGAAATCCAGACCTTACCCACTCTCATGGCCTTCAGAAAAGCTGTCAAGACCTGGCTTTTCCGGCAGGCCTGGGGCTGTTGACCTCATTGTTGAGGTCCAGCCCCGACTGAAATGAATGTATTTGTGTTGTTTTTAACTTGTCTTATTTTATTTTTATTTTATTTTATTTCCTTTCTTTCCCCTTTTGTAAGTCGCCCGGAGTCCTCCGGGATTGGGCGGCCTATAAATAAAATTAAACTTAAACTTAAACTTATTTCTCACCCTATCGCAGGATGGTAGTTGTGGTCCATTGGTGGCCAGTGAAGCTGGCAGGAAAGTTGGATAGTGAGGAGGTTGGGGAGGAACATGGGCCAGTCCTGGAGTCTGGGGAAGGCTCGGGACGAGGGCTCTGCGTCGGAGGCAGAGAGGGGGCCAGGGCCATCTGGGAGTTATGTGCTGCCTCCGGAGCCTCCAGAAGCTCTGGAGCGAGGCAGAGAAACAGGCTCCCTCTGTTCCAAGTGCGCGTATGCTCAGAGCTGCCAGGAGGCAAGAGCAGAAGGGACAACTCAGGAGTAAGGTTTGGAGGTATGGCCCCTCCCATAGGACATAAAGGAGGAGCAAAGGCACGTGAGCCTTTGCAGGAAGCAACTTAGTTCGTTCTGTTTGATTTAAATTCTGAAGCTCCTTTTTGACTCTTTGCTCCGTGTGGCCTTGCCAAACTAGCTGCCAGTTAAGTCTTTGGCAGCGTTTCAAGGAAGATAAAGGTGGGTGCTTATCAGCCTTATCCCAAAAGATTTTGGCAGCCTCCTGTAGGACTCTTTTACAATTATTTGGGACTCATTATGGGGCTGTGAAGATAATCCACAGCCTTTGACATAAAAAGAGGGTTTTGAGGACTAAGCCTGTGCTTTTTACTGTATCACGAAGCCTAGGTCGGAACATGTACCTTCTCAGACATGAAACTCCCCACTTAATCCTGGACAAAAGGGATATTCATATCTGCTTTCCTTGGGGAAGACCACCCAGGGAGACAAGACCATACTATGAAAACTCACATTACTTCTAAACAGTTGTTAGAGTAATAACTTGAGCTCAAGGCCTAAATTTGTGGTGCTTCTGATGTTCTGATCCTGTTGAGCCATTTCATTGCCAAGCTTCCCAGTTCATGAAAATCGATTGGGGGTGGGGAAGAGAACTAGTTTCTAATTCAGATTGTATCTTGTTGAACCCAAAATTAAAACGTGGTGACGCAGAGCCATTTCTCTTAGTTTGGTGAAGGGATGCTGTGTGTTTTGCACTTGGTCATTAGTCAAGAAATGGATAGAACCTGTCTGGAAAATCTGGAATATTTTCTTCCCTTTGTTACAAGATATCATAGAATCTGAAAACCATAAGACAAAGAATGCATTGAGGCCCCATTAGAAGGCAGAAGCATAGTACCATATTTTTCAGAGTATAAGACACACCGGAGTATAAGACACCAAGGTTTTGAAGAGGCAAATTAAAAAAAGTTTTTGCACTGCAAACCTCCCCAAAACAGCCCGTTTTTCATGAAAATGGGCCCATTTACCCCCCCAAAAGGCATGAATAGTGTTTAGGGGGCTTGCAGAGTGCTCCTGGGATGTGTGTGAGCCCCCCCAAAATGAGCAAAAAGGGGCCCATTTTTTGCAACAACAGGCGCATTTTTTGTCAAAAAAATTGCATGCATAGCCTTTAGGAGGCTTATAGAGTACTCCTGGGGGTGGGAGTGAGGCAAAATTGAGCAGAAATTGGTCCGTTTTTCACACATTTCTGCCCTCCCCAGCCCCCAGGAGCTCTCTGGAAGCCTCCTACAGGCTCTGCATGGCCATTTGGTGAAGGGGGCGGGGTTTCAGGAGGCCAAAAATGCTGTATTCAGTGTATAAGACGCACCCAGATTTTCACCCTCTTTTTTGAGGGAAAAAGGTGCGTCTTATACTCCAAAAAATATGGTATATCAAACATAGTATATCAGCTACTTTATTAACATTGGCAATAGCACTTAGACTTATATATTGCTTCACAGTGCTTTACTGCCCTCTCTAAGCGGTTTACAGAGTCAGCATATTGCCCCCAGCAGTTTTACAGTTTCCCCCCATCCTCTACTTAAGTCACTGGCATAGGAAGGCCTTGTTTGCCTGGCTGGTCTACAATAAACTCCCACAGCGATATCCCTTTTGTTCTTGTTTATTGTCATGCAGGATTGTTTATTTTTAAGCAACAGAACAATTCAGTAATTGGTTTAACACTGTAATATTTGTCTAAGTCCCCACCAGTGGTGGGTTGTTCGTCCCGTTCCAACTGGTATGGTTGGAACAGGGCTGGCGGCTTCCTCGTGCACATGTGCAGTTCACACATGCGTCTTAGTGCCTGCCCGATGCTCCAGCTGCTCGCGGAGAATCGCGCAGGTGCTGTATGTGCCACGCACCTGCGTGGAAGCGCAGAAGCCTTCAAAGACTGGTAAGGAGCGCAGGCGGGTGGGTGGGCCCTTCGCCGTTCCCGGAAGTTACTTACTTCCGGGTTCACCGACCAACTGGTCCGCGCGGACCGCCGCGGACCAGTTGAAACCCAACCCTGGTCCCCATGGTGTATATGTTGTATGTATATGGCTATTAGGGCCGTGCAGGTTTTCAAAGGGGACTTGCTTCAACCAAGATTCATTTAGAGGCCCTCAAATAGGGTATGGGGTTGTGTGGCATTCTCCTCCAGGCAAAGGTCTTCTTCAATAAGTTCCTCGCAAGGAGGTTGAAAAGTGGAAGCTGAAGTGGTGCCAGGCAAACCAGGCAGCTTCAACAAATGCGGGTGTCTCATGCCAAAGACCTTCCAGACTTGAGCACTTCAGCACATAGGAATCCTGCAGCATTGTGCCAGCTCTGCATGGCCTGAAACAGTGGTGGGATTCCAAAAAAATTCACTACCAGTTCTGTGGGTGTGGCTTGGTGGACATGGCATGGCTTTGTGGGCATGGCATGGCTTGGTGGGCGTGGCAGGGGAAGGATACTGTAAACTCTCCATTCTCTCCCCACTTCAGGGGAAGGTTACTGCGAAATCCCCATTTCTTCCGGGTCAGCTGGGACTCGGGAGTCAGAGAATAGATGGGGTCAGGGCCAGCCAGAGGTGGTATTTACCGGTTCTCTGAACTACTCAAAATTTCTGCTACTGTTCTCCAGGACTAGTCAGAACCTCCTGAATGACACCTCTGGCCTGAAAGCACTTCAGCCATTGTTGGGAGAGAAGGCTGAGGGAAGCTCCTGTAGCTTTGACGTGCCACGCACCATCAAGCAAATTATCTTGCTATTCCATTGGCACCCAAAGGGCTGCATGTTAGAGTGGGCCCAAGCCACCCTTTCTGGTGAGAGAGAAGCTCTCTGAGGATGGGCTCCAAGACAATCCGAAAGCTCGGAAGACTAAACCTCTGGTCCTGGTGACCAACTCAGATTGGATCCTGCTACCTTAATCTGGGACTCATATACTTGCCTTTATCCATGGACACAAGTTTCGTTGTACAGGCCTATACACCTGCTTGGAGGCTAGTGCTCACAGACTGTTTGTTTGTTTATTTAGTTATTTAGTTATTTAGTTATTTAGTTATTTAGTTATTTAGTTATTTAGTTATTTAGTTATTTAGTTATTTAGTTATTTAGTT